ATACAACTGATAGGTCTGTATCCTAAAGAGATAAAAAAAGAGAAAAGGACCAATCTACAAAATATTTATAGCAACTCTTTTTTGTGGCAGCTAAGAATTAGAAATTGAGGGGATACCCATCAATTAGGGGACGGCTGAACAAGTTGTGGTATATGATTGTAATGCAACATTATTGTGTTATAAAAAATTATAAACAAGATGATTTCAGAAAAACCTGGAAAGATTTAAATGAACTGACACAACGTGAAGTGAACAGAACCAAGATAACATTAGACACAGTAATAGTAATATTGTACAATGATCAATTGTGAATGACTTAGCTATTCTCTGCAATACAATGATCTAAAACAACACCATAGGACTCGGGATGAAAAATGTTGTCTGCCTCCAGAGAAAGAAATGATGTTCTCTGAATATAGACTGAATTATATCATTTTCACTTTTTCTTTCTCTTTCTTTCTTTCTCTTCCTTCCTTCTTTCTTTGAGTCTTCTTGTACAAAGTGACTAAAATGGAAATGGTTTACATGATTGTACATGTATAAACTATATCTGATTGCTTTCTGTCTGGGGCAGTTGGGAGGAAGGAAGGAATAGAATTTGGAACTCAAAATTTTTTAAAACTATTAAAAATTGTTTTTACATGTAATTGGGGAAAAATAAGGAAGGGAAGGGAAGGATTGGGGAGAGGAGGGGAGGGGAGGGAAAGGAGAAGAACTTCTATTCTTATAATCAAACTATTATTAGACATGTTTTTGGGGGGCTAGGGATGATTGGGAATCTGTGCTGTTCAAAAAGTTCCTGATGAGTATCTTTTCAATTGAGATGCTAGTTAGGGATTTCTGGCTTGACTAACAAAAATCAAAGCAGCATCCAAGGCTTAAGAGTGGCTCAATGACTTCTAGACAGCAGACTTCTAAGAGCCTGGAATAGGAAAGGATTTTCCAAACCTGAAATCCAGCCTTGAAAATCATTGACAATATTGTTGTAGTTCCAAAATCATTTTATTCATCCTTCAGTGTCAAAAGAAGACTATGGGAGTGATTTCCACAGGAAAACCTCACTTCTACTGAGGAGTATTATAGCTTGGGTTTAACCACACTTTTGATGCTTCCAATGAAAAATGAAGATTATACATTTTAAAATTTTCTGGTATCACCATGTCTGCTAGAAAAGGAAATGGGGGAAGGGGGAGAGGGACAGCATCCAAAATGTGACTTAGTATCCCCATGCTGCAGTATATGAATCTAGATGCCCATAATGATAGACTTACTATGTTTTTATTCACAATCACTTTTTATATGAGATAAGTAAGATGCCTGGATTTATAGAACTCAAAATGTCATTTTCTGCTACTGAGAACATTTTCCCCAAGCTGTTTCTAAATTCTTCTTGCTTTATGAGCTATTTCTCTTCATTTTTATCTAAAAGCATGAAGTAGGTATACCTAATTCATGGATTATAAACTTCTAAAACATGAATAGTTAACAATCATGACTGTATATTGTACCCTGCCACATTCTAAATGAATCAAAGGAAATAGAGTGGAGTGTGAATTCAGTTAGACCTTCATATTAACTGCCTTGAATACCTTGAATGGACTTCCTATACTTTTTACTGCCCTTCACCCCCACAATGTCCTAGTGGAGAAAGGGAGAGACAGACAGAAAAGAGAAGAAAATAGAAGGGAAGAGAAGAGAAGGGAAGGGAAGGGAGAGGAAAGGAAGAGGAAGAATAAAATGACATTACTCTCCCAGCCCATATCCCCCTCTCCCTGGAGGATAGGGACACCAGGCCACTAGCACTTCTCTGTTTTGTGGACAAAATCTCATTTCTTATTCTTCCTCCAATCCCTATTATTCGAAATCTGCCATCTGCCAGTGCAAAACAAAAACAAAAAAATCTTTTCCTTCTCTACTATCACTCTCTGAGTTCTCATCCCTATGAAAGGAGATAATGCATTACCCCTCTATAGCTCCTATCCTTTTTTGCCCTTCCTTTCCATTGTGTCCTCTGGAAACCTCCCTTCCCCCCATCATTAACAAGCTTTCCTTCATCCTAGACTTCTTCCTCTCACATTCTTTCCATTTTATTATGCTCACAGAAATTTTGCTTGCCCTGGAAGATACAATATACCTGATCACCCTGTGATCCTCTCATGCCTGAGACACACTGAGTCAAGAGGAGTCAGCATACTCCTTGCTGTTACTTCTAGACTCTTCTACCACCATCAATCAGGACCTTTTCTTCTGCTGAGGTTCCCTCCATCTGTCTATATCACCTTATCCAAGTTTGTTTGTTTGTTTTGCTGTTAATCTACTAGATTCCAGGTCACTTCCTTTTTTTCACAAGGAGCTCTTGCTCTATGCCCTCATAAGTGACAGCTTCAATAGAAATGTTAATGTATATTGGCCAAGCATTGTGGCTTCTCAATTCATCTGCCTCCTCAGCTCCTATGCACCATATCTTCTATTTCAGGCAACCCAAGGATGATCACATTACATCTGACCATCACCTATAACTCACTATTCTGCTTTTGTGATCCTGGAACTCTGAAATTCCCCTCTGATTATGATCTTGTTTTCCTACTTCTCTAGTGTGGTGCAGTGGAAAGAACAATGGCTCTGAAATCAGAAGGCCTCAGTTCAACCTACCTGCTTGACATTGGGCAAGTCACTTATACTTCTCTGGACCTCAGCGATCTTTTCTGTAAAATGAGGGGAGTAGACTGTAGGGTTTCTCTGGCAGGAGCAGTATTTACCATGCAGGCTACACTGGTTTTTCCGTGAAAGGTATTAAAACCATTTTGAGACTTAATGAATTCAAGGGATTAAGGCTTGAGCCACTGGCATAGTTTTCTGGTGGCTTAAGGTACAAAAATCCAATACATGAAGAGTCAGCCTTTTTAACTAGAACTTCTGACTGGCAGACCAGCATGGCTAATATGGAGGTAGGGAAGTGTTGCTTAAGTGAATTAATAATGCACCTTTGCTGAATATCATTTCCCTGCTATAGATCAGCAGACATCATTTTGTTAACTACTAGGTAGACTACAAGTTTCTCATTCAGAACCTCAAGTACCAGGCTAGATTGATTTGGGCCAGGCCTGCAACAGGAACTCTCTGGCTCTCCATTTATGATCCTACGATCCTTCTTCCTCACTCTCCCAAAGCTAAGCTTTAGGTGAACTTCCTTATGACACACTTGCTGTTCCCTCCCTCTTTTTGCAGTCCATCACCCTTGCTCTCACCTCACTTCCTCCTTTCAGAGTCAAAATATCTGGGTTCAAATCTAGGCTCTGTTATTTACTTCCCAGGCGACCTTGGTCTTCTGTACTACTAATTCTAGTTGCTGTCTATATGGAAGATATTCTGTATAAGGTGATCTCAGGAGAGAGATTATCAAGACTTATTGGTATTCATACCTGACTAATGTTTGGGATGCTAGATGGAATGTGGTCCACTGTTCTTATTTTCTAGAAAAAAAAAACTTACATCCTGTTCATTTTTTGGTGGGGGTTGTTGGTATAGGAAATAGGCCCATTATTTCATTGTTACAGGGAATTCTCAGTGAAGAAACTCTACCAATAAAAATTAGTACCTTGTATTTAACTTACACTCAGTGTGGACGAGGGCAGGGCTTCTTAAGCTTTTTCCACTCGTGACCCCTTTTTGCCCAAGAAATTTTTACATGACCCCAGGTATATAGGTATATAAAATAAGTATACAAATCAAACATTTACTGATAATAAATCAAAAAGAAATTTATTTTAAAAAAATTCTTTGGTATACATATAACTTTACCATTTATTAAAGACAAAAGCAAATTTGCATACTGAGATGGATGTGCTTACTTATTTTTACACAAAGAATTAAATCTGGGTGGAATATTTGATGGAGGATATAGATAATCTTCAACATTTTTCAGAGATGATCAATATTTTGATTTTAAAATTGTTAATACTGAGAATGCCACTTTGCATAAATACGTACCTCGATCAAATCTCACCTCTCATACTTACAAGCTGTGTGACTTTGGACAATTTACTTAATCTCTCTCTGCCTCAGTTTACTCATCTGAAAAATGAGGTGTGTAGGTTGATTTCAATGTCCTCAAAGCCACCTAGCTCTAAGTCCTATCCTATATCCTCCTGGGATGAAATCACTTAATCTGAGTTTTAGGAAATCTTTTAAGTCTGCAAGAGACAGGCAGGGTGTGATCTGCATGGCTGGAGGGAGTTTCGACACCATCAGAACCATAGCTTTTTGACGTATTATATTTAATTATGAGTTAAAGATACAACTATTACATTTTTAAAGTGCAATATATCTCTGGCAGATGGGGTATGCACAAGTAAAATTTCATTATTAAAAAAAAGTAACTTGCAAAAACTGTGTGTTTGTTACAAACTTTTAAAATGCTATATACTTATATGTGGTTATTATCATTGGGTTCTCTTTCAGTTGGTGGAGGTGGAATTTCAGTGTTTAAAAAAAAAAAACGGTTTGGAATTTATCAGCCCAGAGACTGATCTTGCCAATTCTTCCATTTTTAAATAGACTGTTATAACAGAGGTTTCACTCATCTCCATTTTGAAGACCTAGGCTCCAAATGACCCACAGCCACAGCCCTTTTGAGGCTTGCTGCAGAGACAAGCTGTCAGGAGTGACTGAAATGGGTTCTTTATGAGGCTCCTTGCCAGTTCCTTTCCCTACATTTAAATAACTCCTCAACTGTTCAACAAACTTCAACTTAAAGGTAGCTTTTTAACAAAGAGGCCTAACTTTTTTTTCTTCAGTCAATTAACTTTACATGGTTTTTCTCTCTGGAAAAAAACAAAAAACTGCCTTCATGGATAATGAAGCTGAAATGTACAATGTGACCTATTGTTTCCATTTGAGGACAAACTATCTTAAGAGAAATTTGCCAGAACGACTTCATTTTGACTTTTCTACAGGATGGAATATTATTTGTCATGTTTGATTTTTTTTTTCTGATTTAGGTTTCAGAGACAAGGATGGTGAAGATAATTTCTGCTGTGATCATCATGCTATTCTTCCTTCAAGCAGGTAAGTCCGAAATGAAGCATTAAACAAGGAAGCAGGGGAGCATTGGAAAAATTCTACTAATAATTCCAAGTAACTGTGAGGCAGGTGGAACTTGTATCCATTTCCCCCCAACTTTGATTTCTAGATGTGATAATGTTTCTGATTTTATTTCAAGATGAGATGTGAAATTTCTTCACCTGCTTCCAAAGGAAACAAGTCTCTTCTCTAGTGGGACTACAGTTAACAGGGAGCCATTTTGATGACATAGCAATATTTCTGTTCAAGAATAGGAGGCATTTTGGTGACATTTTTTTTGATGAAAAAACATTGCAGGACACAGTAGGATGCATTCTATGATGTCAGATGGCAGGGAGAGGGAGGGAGAGTTAAGGACAAAAAAAATGTCATTAAATACACTTTCATACTTGGAATACATAGTTTCATTAAGTATAGGAATGTCTTCCACAGATGCAGATAACAACCCTTCTACACCCTCTCATTCTGTATAATTTTTGCCTGAGTCTTACAATTAGTAAATCCTCCACAGAAGATCTAGTGAAATCACTGGAGGCTTCTCCTCAAGCTATTTGGGTTCTTCGAAAACCCATCTCTTGTCTATTCTCACCACTATGACTAGCCCTCCTCCTTTCCCAGTCACAATCATTAAATACTTATTAGGTTTGGGTTAAGGTTAGGGAAAATGGGAATGAAGCCTAACCTATGTTCAGATAAAGAAAGGAAACAAAGGTGGCAGGAAGTCTGGAGGGCCCTCAGTTTCCCGGACTATGCTCAGGCAGGCTCCTGAACCTAGAAGAAATAATTTACATACAAAATACATTCCTTCAGTGGAAGTAGCTTCATCAAGAACCTGACACACAGTTAGTCCCTAGCTTATATTTCCAAGAATAACAGAAAAAATACGGTGGTGGGGAGACCATGGGACATATGATTTTAGTTTACTCACTATCACCACAAAACCTACCTGCCAGCTCACATCAAATTCCAAGAAAAAGCCTTTCATGTAAATAAGTGATTTTCGATCCTTCCCTACTTTCATAGGCGTCAGGAGATAAAGAGAGCAGAATCTTTGGGTTCCTAAAGAACAGACTCCACTTACGGGAAATTTATTATTTACCAGAAAGATCAAAGCTTCATGGTTTCCAAGCATTTGACATGGACTTTCAAAGATGAATCAGAAGTCAACAGAGCACACAGATTAGATCAGTTTGACTAGGGCATGGAGTGCTTAGATAGGAATAATGCGTAATTAGTCTAGAAGAGTAGGGTAGCATCACATTATTAATTGAATTTAGTTGAACGCACTCATTGAATGAATGCCACACATTGGAGTTTGAACTTTACCCTCTAGGCAATGTGGAATCACTATATTTTTCTAAATAGAGCAGTATGATCAGATCTATGCATAAGAAAGATTATGTTTGCAACAGTGTGAAGAATGGATTGAAGAGAGTGGAGACAGAAACACTTATTAGGAGGTTCTTGCAATAGTCTAGGCAAAGGGTTAGAATAATGATAATTGACATTTGTAAAGTTTAGGTTTACATAGCACATTATAGATATTTTCATCCTGAACTAGTTCACTTAAGAGTCAAGATGAGGAAGGGAGAAGAGGATAGCCAGTGCCAGGGTGATGGCCTGGGAAAGAACAGAGGAGTGAGAGACTGGAAGTCATGGTGAAGATGAAAAGCAGGGTAGGGGTGTAATGACAACAGTTTGTGATTAGCTTAAGGAAATTTCAAATTCATGAATATTAAAGTGGAACATTTGCAGGTGATGGCAGGAGGAAAGGTATGACCATCTCCCTGTGTAGCTGAGGTGGGGTGGAGAAGTCATGGGAAATAAGTTAAGAAACTGAGAGGATGGGGTACTTGAGGGAGTATCAATATGTATACTGAAGTCTCCTAGTATTCAGGAAAGAGGTGGGAAGAAGGATGATGAGCTAGACATTTTACTCATTGAGGTAGGAAGGAGGAGTTTTATGATAGTTAGCTGATAACAGCTACTAGAATACTAGAATTTTGATTAAGTGGTAAATATGGATTAAGTGAACCTCAAAGGAGGATGGTGGTAGAGGGAGACCTTGGAAATGGTAGCAAGAAGTATTCCAACTCCACTACCACCACCAGTGAAATGACAAGCTATGATATGATTTAATTTTGTTCTTGTTGTTTAGTTGTTTCAGTTGTGTCCAACTCTTTGTGACCCTGTTTAGGGCTTTCTTGGCAAAGATACTGGAGTGGTTTGCCATTTCCTTCTCCAGCTCATTTTACAGACAAGGAAATTGAGGCAAACAGAAGTTAAGTGACTTGCCCAAGGTCACACAGCTAGTCTGAGGCTAGATTTGAACTCAGGTCTTCCTGACTCCAGGTCAAGCTCTCTATTTGCTGCACCACCTAGCTACCTAATAATAATAAGAGAAATATAAGCTAAAGCAGTTTTGAGGTTCAACCTCATAATCATTAGGTAAGCAAAGATGACAAAAAAAGAAAATGATAATTGTTGTAGCAACTATGGGAGCAAAGAAATACTAATTGCACTTTTGGTAGAGTTGTGAAATTTCTAACTACTCTGAAAAGAAATTTGGAATTATACACAAAAGGTCACTAAACAATGGTTTCCCTTTAACCCATCAACACCATGATACCACTATCAGGTATATAAACAGATCAAAAACATAGGCAAAGGTGCATATGTACAAAAGTAGTTATAGCAGCCTTTTTGTACAGCAAAGAACTGGAAACAGAGTGGGCACCCATCAATTGGGTAATGGCTGAGTAAATTATGGTATATGAATGTCATGGAATATTATCGTACCACAAAAAATAATGCAAGAGATGACAGATTCAAAGAAACCTTGGGAGGCTTGTATGAACTGATGCATAGTGAAGTGAGCAGAACTAGGAGTACCATGATACTGTAAAGAAAAACAACTTTGAAAGACAAGATCTCTGATTGATTCATTGATCATGAAAATGATCTCTAGAAAATGATGAAGCATGCCTCCTATTTCTTGTGGAATGGCAATGGATTGTAGTGGCAGAGTCATTTTCAGATATGACCAATACAACACAAATGTTTCACTTGACTTGATTTGTTACAAAGGAGGGCTTTTATTTTGATTAGGGAGAAAATACTTGTCAAATGTTGGGAATAGTGAAGCAAAATAAACAAGAAAAAAAAGAAAAGACTGTCATTGAAATATTTTTAAAATACACAGAAGACCACAGAGGAAGTTTAGAACATACAAATAGTCAATGTTGGTACTACCACATTAAATGTAATAGAGATTTAAAAATTTATGTAACAGATTCTTGGTTTCTTATGTAGCCGTCTTCTCCTGGCCTTCTTCGTATATTTGTTGATGATTTTCTACTTCTCAGGAAAAAAAGTTAAATGGAAAAAAAAAGTATAATGTGTCATGTAACGCTTTGAAGAGAAAGGAAAAGGGCCTGTTGCAAAAGAATTCCAAAAATGCTGAGAATCATCTAAACATCTTGTGTTTCTTCCTTTGTCTTTTCTCTCTTTCCCCTCCCTCCTTTCTTGTGCTTGGAGATGGCACGGAAATAATATGCAGATACTGCAATCTCTCACTCCCCTTCCATGGCTGCCTTTTGGATGGTGGTACCTGCAGAGTCAACCCCGGTCAATATTGTAAACTTGAGTACCACGAGCAAGGTAGGTCTGACATTGAATGTGGTCTCCAAAGCGGAGGATACATTCCTGATACTACCTCAGGTATCAGTTTAAGTAATGGCTCAGGTGCTGACTTAAATGGAGAGGGTGTGGATTGAAAGGTGAAAACGTATCCTAACCTACAAATACTTCCTCTTTAACCTCTCCGGTTGCCTGAAATCCCACCATTTAAAATCTGTGTTTGAATTAAGAAAATGTCTGGCTTTAAGAGTTTCTGTCAAATTGTTATTACCAATCATTCGCTAAGAACACATGAACATGAATTACTCACATAATGTTTTTCTTTTTCTTTTCTAATGGATCAGATTGTGCTGTCATAGAACAGGGATAAGGATTTACTTGAGTGAATCTTGATGATCTCATCACTGCATGCTTCTTCATCCGGTGCAGTTGTACATATTCTTCCTCCTATCTCCCACAGAAGGTCTAACCAAAGTACCAGAGGCTCTCCATTAGGTCCTCTTCTATTTCATAGCTTTCATGGAACACTTGGGCTCTCATCATCCCCATACATTTCTCTCCTTCCCCCACTTCTTCCCTAAATGTTCTTATTCTTTTATCTTGAATTTGAAACACATCCACAAGCATGAACATTTCCATGTTCATTTACAAAGGAAAAGAAGATTATATATGAAACTGTGAATATTACACATAGAATATTTCTCTTTCAAAACCACATAGGAAAAAAAGTACATATTAATATGATAGTACAAACACTGCCCTGCTGGTCTATGTCCCCTACTAAACATTCTTCTGTGTATTTTTTAAAATTTTTAAAAAATTTTTAAAAATTAATTAAAAAATTTTAAAAATTAAAAAAAAATTTTTTAAATGTTTCATTGACACTATTTGCTTTATTTTTAAAATTTATTAGGGGCAGCTAGGTGGAGCAGTGGATAGAGCTCTGGCCTTGGAGTCAGGAAGACCTGAGTTCAAATCCAGCCTCAGACATTTGACTAGCTACGTGACTCTGGGCAAGTCACTTAACCCCGATGGCCTCACCAAAAAGCAAAAAAAAAAATTTTACTTTTCCCCAGTTACATGTAAAAACAATTTTTGACATTCTTTTTTAAAACATTTGAGTTCCAAATTCTCTCCCTTCCTCCCTCCCCACCTCCCCTCACTGAGAAGACAAGCAGTTCAATAAATGTTATACATGTGTAGCCATGCAAAACATATCCATAATAGTCGTGCTGTGAAAGAAAACGTAGACCCCCCAAAAAAAACTCAAGAAAAAGAGAGTTTAAAAAAAGTGTGCCTTTAATCTGTATTCAGACACCATCAGTTCTTTTTCGGGGAATGGACAGAGTTTTTCATCAGACGTCTTTCAGAACTGTCTTGGATTGTTGTATTGCTGAGAATAGCTAAGTCTTTCACAGCTGATCATCTTACAGTACTGCAGTTACTTTGTACACAGTACATTTCACTTTGCATCAGCTCATGTAAGTCTTTCCAGGTTTTTCTGAAAGTATTCTGTTCATCATTTCTTATAGTACAATAGTATTCCATCACAATCACATACCACAACTTGTTCAGCCATTTCCCAATCGATGGGTATCCTCTCAATTTCTAATTCTTTGCCCCTAGAAAAGAGCTGCTATAAATATTTTTGTACATATAAGTCCCTTTCCTTTTTGTTTTTTATCTCTTTTGGGATATAGACCTAGTAGTGGTGTTGCTAGGTTAAAGGGTATGCGTGGTTTTATAGTACTTTGGGCATAGTTCCAAATTGCTCTACAGAATGGTTGAATCAGTTCACAACTCCACCAACAGTGAATTTTTCCTACATCCCTTCCAACTTTGGTCATTTACCCTCTCTGTACTGTTAGCCAATCTAATAGGTATAAAGTAGTACCTCAGAATTATTTTAATTTTCATTTCTCCAATCAACAGAGTACTTTTTCACGTGGCTATAGGTTATTTGCTTTATTTAAAATAAATTAAAAATTTTTTATCAAAAATATCCTCTCCCCAAGTCTCTCCCTCCTTTCCCTTTTCTCCTTTCTCCTCCTTCCTCCTCCTCCTTCTTTTTCTCTCTCTCTTTCCTTTCCCCCCTCAACCTCCAGCAACCAATGCTGTTGCTTTGAAGAAAAGTTGTTCCTATCAGGTAGACAAGACCTAGGCCACATGTCTCAGGGCCAATTAACACACATTCAGCATTGTCTTTCTACTGGTCAAAAGTACAGTTCAGAAAGTCATGAACTTTTTTCCCCCCTTCTTACAACTCTTACTCCCAGTTGAGTTAGGGCAAGTAAATTTGTTCTATCTTCACAGTGTGCCTCCCTGCCTACACACAGTAAACACCTCCCACAGAGTCTTTCTGAGTCTGTTGATAAAATCGTGCATTTCTCTCCATTTGCCTTTTCAATATTCTAGTACTGCCTTGAAGATTTTTTTTTCAAACTGCTTCTCTAGTAAGTATATTCTAGAAATGTAGACCAGATGTATGCTGGGATGTCTATTTGGATGTGTTAGAGATAAATGTATAGAGATGCATGTGTGTACATTAGGGGTATAACCATGTATCTGTGAAAAAAAAATCATATATATGTATGTGAGGGAGCACCTTCATTTTACAGATGAGGGAACGAAAGCTTCGAAAACTCAAATTTTCTGCCCAAAGTTACACAGGCAGTAAGTGAGCTAAGATTTAAAGTGAAGTGTGGAGCTTTTTCCATCGCACTATGATGTACCCTGTAGCAGGACATGATTAGGAAGAAGCCTAGAAAGAGACCCTGATACATACATGAGAGAAAGCAGGGTACAGTGGCAAGAGCACTGAACTCAGAGTAAGAAGACATGGTCCTGAGTCTGACATCAACTACATTTGTGACTTTGTTCAAGGTACTTACTTCCTCTGAGCCTCAGTATCCTTAACTGTTGAGCAAGGATAATCATGTACTACCTATATTACAAGGTTGTTATGAAGAAAGTGCTTTGTAAACCTATTATTGAGACAATGGAATGTGTGCAGTCTGAAACCACTCCAATATCTTTGCCAAGAAAATCCCCAATGGGGTCACGGAGAGTTGGCACAATTGAAACAACACCAAACAAAGTGGTGTTTTGGGTTCTTTTGTGGAGAAAAAAAAACTCAATTCCATTATATTGGAATATGCCGAATATACTTTTGTAGTATCCCTAGCACTCAGCACAGTACCTAACACATAATAAGCACTTAATAATAATAACAACAACAGGCATCATGGTAGTCAACATCATCATCATCATCACTGAGAGGCTTTAAAGGGGAAAAATGAATATATCTGGGACAGCTAGGTGGCATAGTGGATAGAGTTCTAGCCTTGGAGTCAGGAGGACGTGAGTTCAAATCTGAACTCAGACACTTGACACTTACTAGCTGTGTGACTCTGGGCAAGTCACTTAACCTCGATTGCCTCATCAAAAAAAAAAACAAAAAAAACAAATACATCCTCATTTTACAAACTCTAGATGGAGATCTGGTTGAAGTAATGTAATGGGCTTTCACTTGCAGCAGGATTCTGAAGCACTTGTGTATGTAATGTCTCTAATCTCTAATGGAACATTTTCCTCCCCAAACACACATTCCCCCCCCTTCTGATTTCTGCAGGTGGTGTGGAGTGGTTCTCAGTCAAAGGCTGTACTACTGCCAAAGAGATATGCCATTCAAAGAGAATAATCAGCAATACCGTTCATCTCACCCAATGCTGCTACCAAGACATGTGCAACCTCTGAACCAGAATCCCCAACTAGATGATTTGGGTCATAGAAGGGATATGATGCCAATTTACAAGCAGCCTAGCATTAGGAGAGCAATGTATATATATTTTCCCTGGGATGAATCGAAGACAATCGAGTGGTTGATTACAGGACCTGGTAAATTGTAGAGCACCTGATGTCACCATATTTCCCTCTTCTCATCCTATGGAATAGTGGGCTTGGGGAGGGGGGCAGGAAAGGAATGTGGCCAGAGGCTGGCAACACATTCTTACTCCCAAAGCTTTCTTCAGCCACTCTCCTCACTCCACTTAAAGACACCCATTGGCATCCTTATTACTTCCCCAAGTGATTCTAAGGCTTTAGTGAAAGAAAAAAAAAAACAAAACAATAGCTCCTATATAACCCAACTCCATCCCTAAAAAGGTGGGAGACTCCCATCTAAATGACTAGCATTGGTACAGATTGGTATCCTACCACATATTATCCAAAATCCAACGTCATATTCCCCTGGTTTCTTCTTTCACATTCAAGACAGTTCTAATAGTGGCATACTGCATGCATATTAGTATCCTGAAAGTGTTAAATTGGTTTCCAAAGTGACCTATTTATTTCTCCTGAATAGTTTGTACACTGAAGGAGTCTTGACGTCTTGAATATTCCCCAAAAGAATAAAACAAGTATAAGAAAAGCCAAACTTATGGACACTAGGAGACAAAACTTTAGGATAGAGAATTGTCACTTGCAAACATGGCTTCTCCCAATGACAAAACAAAGGCAAGATTTGCCTTTACTTCTACAGTGGGAGTCCTAAACACACAGCATTTACATAAAGGTAGGCTAGTTAGGCCATTCAAATGAAACCCCTACCTAGAAGAAGCAGATGAGGATCGGGCCTGAGAATTTCACAGTTTTTTGATAATACAGGTCAGAGCACTGCTTTTGTTTAGTGTTTTATGAATAATGCTGTGGGGTGGGGGCGATAGTATATTTTAGTATTTAGTTTCACATTGTTTTCTTCTGATGTAGATTCTACAGGTATTTGAGAAATTTTTGTTAAAAATAAAAAAATCAATTAAAAAAATCTCAACTTTTACTTCTCTTTCAGCTTTCAGACTCCTTTCTTCCTCCCTGATCCCTATCAGCTGCTTGCCCAAGACAATCTTCCTACACTTAGAAGAAATATAAGAGATCAAATGTTCCTTATCTATTCAACTATCTCCTTCTACCCTATTGCCTGCAAAATGCTTTCCCTCCAATTACTGGGCTAGGTTGGCCACATTTTTCATGATGATATTTTAATAAGTTAGACCAAGTGCCTACCTCTTTTAGAAGTGAAGCAATTGAGGCAGAGGGAAAATGAGATTTGAATAAGATCCCAAAATAAATTAGTGGATGAATCCAAAGGAACTCAAAACTATGGTGTAGCTTTGGAGTCAAAAGACTTGGGTTGGGGCAGCTAGGTGGCACAGTGGATAGAGCACTGGCCTTGAAGTCAGGAGAATCTGAGTTCAAATCTGGCCTCAGACCAAACACTTGACACTTACTAACTGTGTGACCCTGGGCAAGTCACTTAACCTTGTTTGCCTCTGTTTCTCATCTGTAAAATGAGCTGGAGAAAGAAATGGCAAAACTCTCTGGTATCTTTGCCATGAAAACCAGAAACGGGGTCATGAGTCAGACACAACTGAAAAACAACAACCTAAAACGAGTAATTTTAACCTGGCTGGGCTTCAATTTCTTGAGGGGTCTGGATTAGACAGCTTTCAAAGGTCCCTGATAGCTGCAGATCTATGATCCTATTGACTCCCAATCATACAAAAAATGGTATGGGAGTTTTAAAGGAAGATAGCAAGAAGAGTCAAGTTCAAGCCCTTCAACTAGCTACGTGTGTAAGTCTGGTAGGTCAAATCCTTACTCTGGTCTTGGCTTCCCCATATGTGAAATGGAAGGGTGATGTCATATAATTCAGGTCCTTTCCAGTAACTCAGACTCTGTACTTGTATTTTCATGTGCCTCTTGCTGTTCATCTGACTTCTCACTGTGGCCTTTCTCTTCCTAACAGAGAAAAGGCTTATGTTGAATAAAGCCTGTATTGTGTGCAAAGGTACACCACACGATGAAAGCATGAGTGCTGCCCACACAGCTCCCTGCATGCATGGAGAGGAAGAAGAAAAGGAGAAATGCATATGTTGGGAGCATTGATTTGTTTCTGAACCAGTCACCTGATCCAGCAGCTGGACTCGGAAGGCTCAGTGCGAGCAAACTTGGCCTACTCACATTTAGATAGGAAAAATGCCATTTTGTCACCCTTCCCACTCTCCAAAAATTGGTGTATATCCACGGTCTGGCTTACTCAGAATATCATTTCAAGAGAATATGCTCTGTGGATTTTCTCCTTTACTCTTTACTCCATCAGCTTCCCCCCGCCCCCCCTTCAATTAGAATGCACAGATGGCCTTAGTAATGATATAATTTCATTTCAGTTTACACCTCCCAGTTAGGCATCTACTCATTCAAGATTACTCTGCTTACACTTTATGATATCTTTAATCACTTTTGGGCACAAAGATAAGGTAGTTTTGTGTTGATTCGAGTGCAGCCTCCCTCCTAGTCAAGTAGACCATGAAATTGTTTAGGTCATATATGTTGTTCTTGTTCATCATTCCATATCAGACCATTATCTGCAAGTTAAGACTTTCTGCTGGGCAGTTAAGCCTAACCACAAGGGAAATTTAAAAAAAAAATTTACTCATATCTTTTGTTTTTACATCACCTTCTATCTCCCCCATCCCCCCCCTTTTTTAAGGACCATAGATCTAGATCTTGAAGTGATCTCAGAAGTCATCTAACTTTCCTCTTTATAACAAAGATTTTTTTTTAAAGAAAAAGAGGAACACAAAAATCAGCAAAAACCAATACAAAGAAAAAAGTCTTGACAATATGTGCATATATGAAATGTTCTTGATCTCTGCAAAGGAGTGGGGAGAGAGGTACATTCTCATATCTTCTTTGGAGCCTGCTTTTTCTTTTGTAATGTGAATGTTTCTTGATTCTATCCCTCCAGCATCTGAAATTAGTTGCCTCAGGGTGAAATGTTTGTTCATTTTATTTATTTATGCAGATTAGGATATCCTAGTTGACTGTTAGCAAAAGAAGAAAATATATCCTAAAAGAGTAACTAGCATCTCCCACTGGCTCAATCACAGTGCTTTCTAGGCCCCTGTACAGCAATCCATTTTCATACCCTTTAGGTGCAGAGATGGGCAAACATCTTGGCCCCCTGTGAAAGGATATTTTTTATCAATGGTCTTAACAAATTGAGTTAGGCCCACCTCTCCTCCGTACCTCCTGCCACAGGCACTAGTTTTCTCTAAAAGGAGACAAAGTTGTCTCAGGAACTGATATAGCTTCCTGGTCACCTAAGGGCATAAGTCCCACTTACGTGCTGCCAGAGTCCCTCTAGCTTGGGACATTACTGAAGACCACAATAATCATGTTTTTCTCTATATACTGCCCTGATATGAGGCATATCTTTTTTTTTTTTGGCAAGGCAATGGAGTGAAGTGATTTGCCCAGGTTCACACAGCTAGTAAGTGTCAAGTGTCTAAGGTCAGATTTGAACTCAGGTCTTCCTGAATTCAGGGCCGGTGCTCTATCCACTGCATCATCTAGCTGCACCCATAAGGAATATTTCTATAGGGAGATGAAGAGGACCATATCAGAGAAGTTAAATAGCATTGTATCCTTGCTGCATATCCTCATCATGTTTGGGCAAAGTGAACCTCCTTTGGTTAACTGTTCAATGACACTCAAGTGCCAATTTTTGTCCCAACATCAAACCTGAACTAAGTACAGTTGTTTCCTACGTCCCCTGAATCATGCTGGCCTTGCTTATTAGAGGACATTTCTTCTTACAGTAAAGAAGGCCTAGGAGTGAGATATAATGGAAAGAATCTTCAATCTATGTTCAGCAGACTAGGGTTCAAATCTCACCTCTATCCTTTTCTACTGAGTGACCTATGGCAAATCATTTGACCTCCTTGGTCTTCACTTTCCTCAGCTGTAAGATGAAAGCGTTAGAGAGGGCCTCTGAGATCATTTCAAGGTCTGGGTCTATGGTCATTTAAAAGAGGGGGGGGGGGAATATGGAAGAAAAGTAGTTGGTTCCCTCTTCCATACCTGCCCAGATTACATTTGTGAGTCTCTTATCTTCACATCTAACTAAAAAAAGATGTCATTTAATATTCTGTACGATCATAACAGCTGACATTTACATAGCACTTCAAGGTTTATCAAATGTTTTGATTACCTCACTCGATCCTTATAATCTATGAAGGTAGGTAGTACAAGTTTATTTACCCTGAGTATGAAAGTCTGAGACGTGTAGCCTAAGTCATAAATAGTGAGTGGCAAGGACACGAATCCTGGTATTCTGACTCAGTGTCCAATAGTCTTCCATGATACCGAGTGGACTCAAATCCTGGAATTTAAAGGGACCCTGGAGTTCATCTTTGTTGATCGGTCATTTCAGTCATGTCCAACTCTTCATGACCCCATTTGGGGTTTTCTTGGCAAAGATGATGGAGTGGTTTGCCATTTCCTTCTCCAGCTCATTTTACAGATGAGGAAACGAGGCAAACAGTTACGTGACTTGCCCAGTAAATGTCTGAGGCCAGATTTGAACTCGGGAAGATGAGTCTTCCTGCTTCTAGGCCTAGCACTCTATCCAGTGCACCACTAGCTACCCATAGTTCATCTAGTCTATTTCAATCCAATACATGAATCTCTTCTATCACAAGGTGACCCAGCCTCTGACTGAGTACTTGAGGTTATAAAACAGCCCATTCTATTTTCAGACAGCTCTGCTTTATTAGGAGGGTCTTTGTGATCTTCCTATAATTTATATCCATTGGTTCCAGTATTAGATAGATATGTAAAGCATTTATTAAATGCTTATTATGTGGCGGACACTGTTTTAGTCACTACAAATAAAAAAAGTAGAAAGACAGTTCCTATTCTCAAGGAGTTTACGTTCTTATAGAGGATGACAACACATTCTGAGAAAGTGACCTTATGGAAGGGAGGGAACAGGAAGGGAAATTTTGAGAATCGGGGTGGAGCCAGGAAAGAAGTGAGGAAATGATGACTACTGGCTTACAACTTCTCCAGGGGAGAACTCACGAATCTGAGGAGCAGTGGAGGTAAGCAAGCAGAGAAGTAGTCTGGAAGTCCTGGGTTGAGCCGCGCTTGAAGTACTGTCCTTTGTGACCAAGTCAAATTACATCTATTCTCTCTTCCCAACAGTATTCCACACTATATCTGATGAAGGATGTGTCATATTACCAGACCCTACTAACCCAAATAAAAAGGGAGAAAGTGGCTTTGAGTATACTATCAGGGATTAAGTTTTTGCTGAATTTAGGTCATGCAGTCATCATGGCCAGTGCCCCTTAAGTATTCCTGTTTTCAACATTCTAGCCTACTTGACTGATGGGGAGCAGATGCATAAAACTTAAGTGGGTTACGCAATACACTTCCTAGGCAACTTACACACGCTAGTATAAGATTAAAGACAATCACTAAGGGTTAGGGAAGTGGACAGGATCACTTTGTTTTTTTATTTTTAATTTTTAGGCAATTGGGGTTAAGTGACTTGCCCAGGGTCACACAACCAGTAAGTGTCAAGTGTTTGGTCTGAGGCCAGATTTGAACCCAGGTCCTTCAGGGCTGGTGCTCTATCCACTATGTCACCTCGCTGCCCTGGATCACTTCTTTAAGCAGGGTTTTTTGCGTGTCATGGACTTGTTAGGCAGTCTGGTGAAGCCTTTTGGACCCCTTCTCAAAATGTTTTTCAACTCATAAATGAAAATACATCAGATTACAAAGGAAAGGAATTATATTGAAATACAGTTATCTAAAAAAATTTTTTTTTTAAGTTCATGACCCTCAGGATAAGAACCCTGGTCTTAAGGAAATAGGAGACATCAGAATCAGGATCCAAGTGGGTGCAAACCAGAGGCCTGGCTGGG